TAGATAGATAGATAGATAGATAGATAGATAGATAGATAGATAGATAGATAGATAGATAGATAGATAGATAGATAGATAGATAGATAGATAGATAGAAAGAAATAACTATTAAAGAATAGATATAATGACAGATAGATAGAAAGAAAGAAAGAAAGAAAGAAAGAAAGAAAGAAAGAAAGAACTATTAAACAATAGATATAATGACAGAACGATGGACGATGGATGGATTTTGCTCAACCGTTGTTCATTGGTCCCCACTAAGTTCTCCCAGAAGAAACATCTTGAATGTCTCTGGGCTGGGCTCTGGGTAGGAAACACTGTGCCTCTTCTGCTTGTTTTTAACAGGCACTTTGATGGAGTTTAGCAAAAGTTTGCTTTAGAATATAAATACAAGGAGGCACAGCTAACTCCTTTTTTATTAGGTTTATAAAAGGTCTATTGATCGATCATTAAGAAACTGTCCGGGTCTCAGTGCACAATGTGTAGAACCTGTTTGTAGAGCTTGCTGAGTAACCAAATAATTTCTCAGCCTCTATTTATTAGAGATGCAAACTCCTTATAGCACGGAGGACAGAATGGATGAGGCGTGATATTTGTCAGACTAATGGCCAATTAAGCCCCTAAACAAGAAGGTAGGCGATTAGAATCTCGCCGACCCCCTCTGAGACATTAACTGCGTTTACATGCACTTTAAAAGTTCGATTTCAGTTAGACTAATACAATAATTTGTCTTTTTACAATATCAACGGTTTGACCACAATCGGGCCAATTAATTAAATTACAAAAGTAATTCCTTTGCCAAACGATAAGACTATTTCATTAAAAAATACATTTAAAGCAATTCTTTAGGTCTACATGCAATCCAATTCCTAGCAACTTAAACAATACTACACAAACAAAAAAAATGGGAACATATTTAATCCATTAATATACAAAACCCAGTAATTTATATCTCACTACATGTTGTCATGTGAACAAGCAGTCACTACACCATGAAGTTTGACTCAGAAGACAGTCATTTGGTTTGTAAATGTAAAAAAAAAAAAAAGTGGAACCTTATCTGGAACTCAAATTTCCAACCCTGATTATAACTGTATGTGTAAACGTAACAATTGAGAAAACCCCATTTTCCCCCATCAAACTTTAGCTCGGTTGGAGAAGAGAGGGCTGCTTCCTGTAGGAAACTCTGAGAAGTGTTATGCAAGACATATAGCGGTAGGCCCTTGACATTTTTGGTTTAAACTGTACTCTGAAAACATTTCTTCCTTCACAGGATGTATTTTTGCACATTGTTTTAGACATTTGACAAGGTCTTTTAAATATACATTAACAATTCCTAAGTGACCAACATTTTTAGCTCCACACTGAATCAATTTTTCCCAGCCTGCGTGACCTAAAATAAAGCTTTCAATATGGGTGCTCGGTGCACGACTTAGTCCACAAATGTATTGAAACCAGGCCTGTTGTATGTTGCCAAATATTCTGTGGTTTTCTGGAGTTTAGACGACTCTCCTGTGATCTAAGATGGCTTGGAAATTGGATCTTGGCCTATAATAAGCAGGGCTCGAGAAACTTGGGCCGTCTCAGCCGAAAAAAAGAGACATGAATAGGTCCCAGGAACACTGGGTCACACAAAGCCTTGATTGACTGGATCAGATGCTCGGTACGATCAGATACTTGGGCCCGGTTGAAATCAAAGGAAGGCGGGCTCTTTTAAGCACACATCGGGGGAAAGGGTGGGGGCCGAGGCTCAGTTCTAAAGAGCCCAACGATCCTGTCATCTGACGCACTGGAATCCTGCAGTATCGGAAGGTCAGTGCAGCTTGTCTGAACATGACAAATAATGCTCACAGAAACTGCTCAAGTCCTCCAAATCCCACTAATGTGCTTTGGGATATTAAACCGAGTGAGAGGGAAAGGTTTTTAAGGAACATAGTATATGCAGTCCATCGTTCCCTTCATTACACCCATGTGGTGACAATTGCAGTGCCCCCTCCCCCTACCATGTTTAGGAGTGGAGGACATCAAAATGCACAGCATGTAATGATGTCAAAGAGCTATTTCATGGTGAACGTTTGGTTTGAATTAGAGGCCAGCGGGAGTGCGGACTCTCACATACTCTAGCAGCGTCCCTTTGTTCCTCCCAGATCTGTGGTGCGGAGGAGACCTCTCTCTTTTTCTCTTTCTCCCTGTCTACAACACGCTCTCTCCACCCATCTCACGCCCTGCCATTATGCATATACTCACAACGCCTTGATGTTCGCACTCTTAGATGGATGATCTTGCAAACGCTGACATTTTTTAACATGCAAACTAACACATACACTCTTTAGCATCCGTTTGGCACTTTTAAACGCACTACTACAGTGCATAAAAAGAGCCCAACGATCCTGTCATCTGACGCACTGGAATCCTGCAGTATCGGAAGGTCAGTGCAGCTTGTCTGAACATGACAAATAATGCTCACAGAAACTGCTCAAGTCCTCCAAATCCCACTAATGTGCTTTGGGATATTAAACCGAGTGAGAGGGAAAGGTTTTTAAGGAACATAGTATATGCAGTCCATCGTTCCCTTCATTACACCCATGTGGTGACAATTGCAGTGCCCCCTCCCCCTACCATGTTTAGGAGTGGAGGACATCAAAATGCACAGCATGTAATGATGTCAAAGAGCTATTTCATGGTGAACGTTTGGTTTGAATTAGAGGCCAGCGGGAGTGCGGACTCTCACATACTCTAGCAGCGTCCCTTTGTTCCTCCCAGATCTGTGGTGCGGAGGAGACCTCTCTCTTTTTCTCTTTCTCCCTGTCTACAACACGCTCTCTCCACCCATCTCACGCCCTACCATTATGCATATACTCACAACGCCTTGATGTTCGCACTCTTAGATGGATGATCTTGCAAACGCTGACATTTTTTAACATGCAAACTAACACATACACTCTTTAGCATCCGTTTGGCACTTTTAAACGCACTACTACAGTGCATAGCACTGTTGCTTAAACATATATACTGTATGTACTGTGACGAGAGGGGCGGGCCGAGAGCCGTGGGAACGGAGAGAGGCCAGTGGAGAAAATTCTAATGCACGACACCTGCGCCACTCACCGGTCTCGAACCCCACGGAGGAGCTCCGGAAGGATAAAAGGAGGAGTGATGACAGTGTTGGACGAGAGAGGACCAGGCCTGGACTTTATTTTGTGTTTTGTGTGCGGCAGTCGTCCGCGAGGGGCTGCCGCTTTACTTTCGTTTTGTGTTTGTTTATTTTATTAAAGTTTTGTTTGAATGTTCTCCTTCTTCCCGTGACTACGAACTGTGTTACATGTACATTTACACTGATAAAATCCTAAAACGTGTTGCCACGTAGCGTTCCCAAGTCATTACATTACTCAGAAGCTGAGAAAAAGCAGTTTAAACATCCAGATTTTCTGTGAGGTGAATATGGATTGAGAGTAGAAATGGATAAATGAATAAATGGAAAGTTTGAGAGGCTGAGAGGAGAGAAGCGGACAGTGTGACCTTTTTAAGATCCCAGTCAAATGGGTAAATAAGATCCCGAGGTGACTGTCATTTACAGGTTGGGTATTGACACGAGGCCGGCCAGTCCTGAGAGAGCAGGCCACTGCGAAAGAAAGACACAAAAAGTACACATGTGCCAGAACACGCAGACAGACTGAAACTATTATATAAACACACATTCATACACAGCTAACAAGCTAAAGGCTAAAGCTAAGAATGGAAAAAAGTGGTACATTTGCTACAGCAAAATCTATATAAATATAAAATAAAATAATAATAATAATAAAAATGATAAAATAATGATATAAATATAAAATAAAAAAGTCAAACAAAAATGCAATCATGTAATATAGGGAACATCCCACTATTTCATTTCCTTTCTTTTTTTTACAGTAAATTTCAAGCAACCACAGTTTTCCGTTTTTCATTAAATTTAACAAAATGATTTATAGTGCATTATATATGTGGTTACACTTTATTTGGCTTCTCTTCTAAAATGGTTTTGTCATAAGATCTGATGACTGTATAGCATAGTGCTATACAGTATTTTTTTTTAAGCTGATCTCTCTTGCTATCCCTCTGTATTTGCCCATCACAATGTGAACATGTATGATTTTACTGAGGGCAAACATGTCTCAATCCTTACTTCAAAACAATGCATAGAATTTCTGTAATTTCTTTACGGTTCCTTTCCTAGAGCCATTGGTAATAAGGGGGATGTTTTCCTAAGTTATGGTCAAGGATGCCTCCCTTTAACTTATCACATGAGGAAATGCCAGAGAAAGCAGGGCTGGAGGCTGATGTGCTGGGTAAAACTTGGCATAAGCTACTTATCAGAAAATATTAGGTTTATGCCTAAAGGTGCTTGCTTGTGTCAGCTTCTGAGGCTGTTTGGAAATCCCTGCCTCGATGTGACAGGTCAGTGTGCCAAACTTAGCCAGCAGATGGAAGATGCCCCTACATGAATAAGGCACACGTCCACAAATACTGTATATAATTTGTAGGATTGTAGGTGGGGGGAGTGAATGTACAGCTCTCTCTCCACCGTCAATACCACGACTGAGGTGCCCTTGAGCAAGGCACCGAACCCCCAACTGCTCCCCGGGAGCCGTAGCATAAATGGCTGCCCACTGCTCTGGGTGTGTGTTCACGGTGTGTGTGTTCACTGCTGTGTGTGTGTGCACTAAGGATGGGTTAAATGCAGAGCACTAGTATGGGTAACCATACTTGGCCACACGTCACTCACTCACTCATATAACAACTCTTTATAGAAACTGCAGTAACACCGTTTAATGCTTAACCAAAAAAAAAATGCTTTCCATTATTTGCTAAATAAACAAATACATAATACTTTATGTATTTAGTTAAATAATATACACACACATGTGTGTGTATATACATATATATATATATATATATATATATATATGGAAGTAAAAAAATGTTTACAAAAACAGGTACAGACTTAATAGGTAATTAATTTGTTTACAATAAGGACTTGAAAACAAATTGGTTGGTTTGTTTTCAAGTCATCAAAAAATTATTATTTTATCATTGCTGCTCATTAAATTAAACAGTACATAATTTATTCATGGTAAAATAAGGAAAACAACATCAAGATGTGCTGCTTACCTCCAGTACATGTATTTCATAATGACAGGTTTGTACGTGTGTGTTCATTTATGCATCAAAATCATTACAAATCAAAAACCATCCTATTTCTCCAAGGTTGAACACTTTGAGAGTTTCTAGCTGAATCAAATGCCTCTATAAATAACCAAGTTCATGTAATACAGATCAAACTGTAGAGACGTTTGAAGTGCAAGCAATATGTGTAAGTTGCTCAGCTCTCCTAGATCGATTGAGGGGGGTTTACAGGGGTCAGAGAATATGCCTGAGGGAGAAGAGGAGTCAAACATCATGTTGGGTGTCAGACTGTTGACATTTCAGATCTTCAGATGCATTCACTATGCCAACACGGAGAGAGAGAAAAAAGGATGCCAGGGGCAGTGTGCACATATACAGTATGAGAGTATGTTGTCTGAAATGGCCAGGGTCACAGTAAAAGTTGACAGGCCATGTTGCCAATAATCATAATCATTATGGGATATGCTTGTATGCAGATACATCCTGCATTCATTTACATAACTTAATTATTTTTCGCCTCAACAATGCTAGTTTTAGATGTTATTTGTCCAGATTTTTTTTTTAAACATAGATTGATTTCCACAATAAATTCATGCACACAAATTAAAACTTTTTTTAAACCATGTTTTCTTTTTATGTTACAACCAACCCCAAAAAATCACCGAGATACAGATGCTGAAACAAAGTGTGTTAAAACATGGTCTCTCTACCATTATTCATTGTATCCTTATTAATTATTAAAAGACATTTCATTCATTTTTATTGTAAAATATAGTAAAAAAAAAATTTTAATAACTGCAAAATAAGTTTAGGGATAAGTAATACATTTATAAACTACTTTCTAAATTAGTTTGTAGTAGATAAATGGGGTATAATATCAAAGTCTGAACATTAAAAAAAACACTTATTTACAGATGACGAAATGTAATACAATGCTTTTCAATTCCCTCTGTCAAATAAAACAAACAAAGAAAATCAGAATTGAGGAATGCTTCAAAAATCATCAAAAGTAGTGCTGTATAACAATAAAAGAAACTAAAGTTTTACTTTACTAAACTGTTGTGACCTACAATAACAAAACATCCCTGGTTGTGAGGGAGTTAGAACAGCTGTTGTAATGTGGATAATAATCCTACACCCATATCATTGGGATGGAGTGACCCATATCTGCCACGTGCAAGAGGGCTGGTGCTGATCCCCAAAGCTCCTCTCCTGTCTCCCTGAGCCGAATGCACCGCCTGGCCCTGGCTCTCACTTCTGGGGTTGGACGGGCCCCTGACGAGGCTATCTTAAAAATGCTCTAAGATCCTCTGTCCTTTACTGTCTCATTCAAAGCGCCTCGTTTTTAATATTCAGCACTGCAAGATGGTTGGAGCATTTGTTCCGGCCGCCACATTAAAATAGCTCACACTCTCACTGATGAACTTCAGGCTCCAAAAGTGGGGCTATGAATTTATCATATCAAGGTCATGCTGTTGCTTTCAACTCACAAAGAACAATATTTGAGTGTATGGATTTAAGTGATAATGAAATACGGTCTTATACATCAGGAGAGGCAAAAAATATGTCTGTGTGGTGGTTTGGGGTGTAATTAATAATCGTTGTCCTTATATATTTATATCACAGTCGGGAATACATATGTACAAACTCACATACACGTGACAGTGGTGCAGCCGAGCACATACTCATGCATACACACACAAATGAGGCGGAATAAAGAGCAGGTTAAGTATTTCTCCATTAGAGGAGCAGTCGTCAGGTCTGCCAATGTGTCTAAATAATGGCTAGACTTGGGGCCCTCTCTGACACTCGCTGCTCTGTGTGTGTGCGTGTGCTCCTTCCTGCATTCCTTTTGACTAAAACGCACACACACACACACACACACACACAGGCACACACAAAGGTGTGTGAATTTCATTTAAAAGAAACAGCTTATAGGGACAATTAAAGCAGCACCTTGAGAATATAAGCACTCAAGGCCAGCAAGCATCGTTTTGGAGTATGTTATTAAAGTACTCGACCAATTAACACAGCGAAACAAGTTGTAGTTGTTAAAAAAGGGGAGAAAATTCAGAAAATATAAGAAATATGCTATGACCTCTGTAGGAAAAGTGAGAAATGGTTTTAATATCACCATCTGAGTGATCATAAAACTAATGTTATTAGAATTGTGTTATGAATGCAATATCTGAAGACAAAGTAGTGCTACGCTGCATGGAAAGAGTAGTCTATGCAAAAAAACAAACAAACAAAAAAAAAAACACCTAGGAACAATACAATGAACATACATTTACAACCTTCAGGCCAACAAGCACAATTTGTCCATGTTCCAATAATTTACTGTCTACATTTTTGCACCGGCATTCCTCATGCACAGTACATTTTGAGCTCTGTAACTAAAGAAAAATAAATGTTTTTATCAACTGTAAGTTAATAATCTAGAATACATTTTTATGTGTGTGTTTTATATATATATATATATATATATATACAGTATATATATTGTTAAAACTTATTTTTGTGCTGTTGTCCCACTGAAAGGACGTCACTTTCTGAAGGAAGCATAACATGTCGAAATCATCCAAGTAGTGTATATAAAAACTTTTAAAGCATCAACAGAAACATAAAATAAATACATGTGAAACTGCTGCTTTTGTGCATGACTCTACACAACACCACATGCCACATTTCTGTTTGTCCATAATTTTTTTAATACCCACTGAGAGAGAATGAATCATGGGATATCAGCTACTCCCCGCTTCATTCAAAATTATCCATCTACAACCAGTTCTGGTTTGACACATCTCGCTTTATTGGTGCCGCACATGTTTTCATAAATGCTGTGACACCAGCAAGCACCCAGCTGTGATATTATTAGCTCCTTTGGCTCACAAATAAAAACTCACTTCACCATGCATCAGTGCTATAAGAGTGATGAAAAAGAGCAGAACAATATGTGAAACAAGCGAGAAAAACATACTGCTCACAGTGCAGTAAAACAAGAGAAGGAGGTCTTAATCCATGAAGAGGACATTAAGTAATACCCCTGACACCGATGACCAGCTGATTATGTTGAGCCTTTATGGTCCATCACACACTGGGTCAATGAACACACAAGTTCGAGCCGTCCACAGTCAGACTGCTTCTCTGCATTCACATGCAATGGAAGAAAAATAGTGCAGTGCTTGTATTGTGGAGCCTAAGTCTAACCTGAACGAGACCTGATAGAGCGACTCCATTTCGAATCTCATTCCACCCCTATCCCTTTATTTATCTCCCTCTCAATTATTGCTGTGATTTGTAAGTTGTGATTACAGCCGTGCACTTGGGAGTGAGCGAGCGCCAGCCTACACCGGGAGATAACGGACTCCATGCAAACTTACAAAGCGACTACTGACTCTTCTCTCTCAGAGTAATAAATAGAAATGCAGCTTTCAGGACAGCGGGGGGAGCAACGTTTGAGTGTGTATGTGTGTGAGTACTACGGGGGTGGCGGGTTTGTAGGGTGAGCAATGCAGCTCCATTCTCTACCTCGCTGTCAGAAAATATAATTTGCGCCTTCAGTGATTCACCTGGTTCATATGCAGCATGCAAATTTATTTCCTTAATAATCAGAGCAGGAGGCTGCCCAGTAGGATTAATGGCATCATTCCTTATGCACCGGCAGCCTCCCGGACCACAAGGATATTACCCACCTCTGACATGGAAAAATTGTGTTAGTTCTAGAGAGAAAATGCTGGGATATTTGTCCTGTGCGACAATATAATGGGCTGGTGCATCATCAGATTGCAATGTCATTTCAAAAACCTTGAATACAAATAATGTACAGTGAGAGAATAGATGGTGTGCACCTTAATACAGTCGGCTAGTTATCCTTCACACAGGTATAAAGGGGCTTTTCTGACACTAGTCTTTATTTAAATGAAGCCCGCTGATTCCGGCAGCTCTAGGCTCTATCCTAGGATGGATCCCTCTCACTCTTCCCTCTTTTAATTAATCTTCCTTCTCTCCCTCACTCTGAGAATCTCTCTTCTCTTGCCTCCTTCACCATTTTAAAGCAAACAACATGAAATATGTATGGGCCAAACAAATTAATTATCCAACTATATGGGGAAAAACAATGCGGCGGTGGCATGGAGAGTTTGGGTGCAGATCTGTCACCGGGCACGGGGAGGGGAGACTCGGAGAGAAGTGAAAACCTAATTAACAAGATAAGTGACCAACAAGAACCCTCTGTCAGGAGTCACACCCACCCTGGAGCTGAGCCAACATGGACGCTGCTGGTGTTACTGCAGCGCTGCCTGGGCAGCCATCTTGATGAAGTTGTGCTGTTTGTGCAGTGATCTAGTGTGGAGCGGCACTGTGGTGCATATTCACGCCAATTATAAAGACCTTTGATTAGGAACGTTTGGAAGTACCATTACATGTTACGACTATTGTTTTTAGAATCATTTAACCATGTGTATCTGCCAGAAAGTTTGTGGGGTCAAAGGAAACAGAAGCAGCGATCACTAGAGGTTAAACTGTGGTTTTGGAGATGAGGGAACCCTAAAATTTGGTGATTATTCTGTCCTGAATCTCTATGAATCAACATATATATGAATATATAATGGATAGTACAATTCCTGCTTTTGACATAAGCAGCCCTGCGTTCAAAACACACCTTCATATACAACCAAGTACAATTGGAGATTGGAGACTGAATGGATGAAACAAAAACTGTACTGGACCTTAGACAAAATGGTATGGAATGGCAAAAAATATAATACGGTTTTAAAATTATTTTTCAAAGTTGAAAACTGTTTCTAAGTATATCCTATACACCATTTTTTTTCTTTCTTTTCTTTTTTTTAAAGTGGAAGACCTTGCACCAGTAATAAGAAACTAATAGGCTACTAAAACATTTTTGAACATTAATATTAACACTGTATCTACTACAATCCAGTCAAATCAAATTCATATCTCAAATCTCATAAAGTTTATGCAATTTTTATTGAATGAATGATCACATTTATTTAGTACTGCGGACTATTGTTCAGCTATCATCATCATCATCAAAAAATCAAATTTTTCTGTGTGGGTGAGTTACTTACTCTAATTATTTCCACCATTTATACCAGTTCAGGATGATCTGCAGCCGGTTGCAAGCGTGATAAGGCATTATTCCAAAAGGCACATGACTTTTAAAACTACACACTTAAGGATCTCATTTTGAACAAAGAGTTCAAGGGAGGGAAAAGAGATGCTGCTTCCATCTGAAACTTCCAAATGTGTCGCTGTTGGACAGTGTTACTCTTGAAAAAAAAGGGTGTAGTATTTTATCTAATCGTTGTGTTATATTTTCAATTTTTTTAAGGAGGCACCTCCTCCCTTGCCTCCCTTGCCTCCCTGGAGAAAAATACCTCAGATGCTAATAGACAAAGAGCATTCAACCACTCATTACAGTCCCGATGTCCCCCTCTGCCTCTCCATCACTCGAGATTATAGGAAAGAATTCCTCTCGATGAAAAACGACAGCGCTCTCACTTTGTTGTAGTCCAGTAGACTGAGCCAAGAACAACAGTGTGTATGACAACATCCTCACAGACTGAAAGAGTTTGAAGATCAGTATATTCAGCAGAGATAAAAGACTTATTGGATACATGCTAAACATCATAAAAAAATACCTAAATTGTTATTATTTGGTCATTTAATTACTTCATCACCAGCAAGTACAGAAAACATGATAGACGCTAGCAAGCAATTATTTGGATGTTACATTGAGAAGCTGTGCGAATAAATACATCTGATTGGCTGGACAGGTGTCTCTGGCTAGGGCCCCTTCCCATGGGCACAAAGCCATCCTTATGGGAATTATTTCAGTAAGTCTGGGATTCTCTGGAGCCCAGCAGTCCCATTAAAAACTCTGAGTCCAGTGCTAAAAAGCTGCAAAAATGGTGGGAAAGCAATGCTTTAGACAATGTGAAGAGCTCAACAAGGACCAATGCCGAACAATACAACGTCTGGACACTACATGAGTGTTTCTTGGAGGGTCTTGAAAGAACTCCCAAGAAAGAGAGGGGG